TAAGACCCTAGAATCTCAAGATATTATTCACACTTTTGTGCCCTTTCATGCAAAAAAAGGTGGAGTATTTATAGGCCATAATGACTTCAGAATTGGAGCAAAAAAGTGTCATATCTCCATATTTCGGGGTATTAACGGTACCACTGTCATTATTAGGCGGTACTACCACCTATAGACTAACACTAGGAGGTACCATCACCCAGTCTAGGCGGTACGACCGCTTGACAAAGCTCAAAGACTGAGCTCTAGCGGTACCACCGCCTGGCTGCATTAACTATCGGTGGTACCACCGCCCAGACCACCTGGGAGACTGAGTCACCAAGCGATGCCACCGTCGGCTTTGGCGGTGCCACCACCGTTGACCATGACTTCAAGTGCTGAATGGGCTATTTAATAGGCCTAGTTTAGCCCTGCTAAGGGCCCAGTTGGCCTTAACTGAGTTAGTGGGATTATCTCTCAATTCTAACTCAACTTAAGGTCTAACTATGATAATTAAGATACTTAGACAAGCAATCTCTGTTCAGTATGTCAATTATTCTTTTGGCGATCTTCCGGCAAACTTTTGGCGAACTCCCCACGAACTCTCAGCGAACTCCGAACGAACTCTCAATGATCTTCCAATGAATTCTCAACGAGTTCCCGACGAAATCTCGGTGAGCTTTCGATAAACTTCCAGCACATTGTCCGAATCTTCGACGTATCATCCAATATTTGACTCCGGCCCAATATCTGCTTTATGCCTTCATTGCTATCGTAGTTAATCCTATAACACTTGTCTCAACATATAGATTAGATCAATAATTTACTAATTTATTTCATCAACAAAATCTAAGATTTAATAGCATCTACCATATAGATCACCACTAGTGAGGATAGTTTACCTCCTTCATCCACTCATACAAATCTAAGATTTTTTGGGGATATACAATCTTCCTAGGTAACAAATCTCACTTGATACACATAATTTCGATTTTGTATTTTGTTTTGTGTACTAATCTTCGCACGATGACAAGAACCTTTTTCTTTAGGAAATGTAAGATTTTATTTTTTTGTTCTTCCGTTGCACATGTGATGCTCTATCCAAGTTTCCCAATAGTAAACTCATAACTATTACTACCCATAGAATGGAAAGGGTTCTTCGAAAGGCACACTATAGATTTTTGATACAATTACGGAGCATTAAAGAAGAAGCTACGGTATCTGAACAAGAAGAAAATGTCTAATTATTTCTTAGAGAATTTATAGATGTATTTGTAGGACCACAAGGACTTCCACCTCTTCGATCATATGATCACTAGATTCCTGTACTACATAAGAGTGTACCAACTAATGTTTAGCCCTATCGGTATCTACATTTCCAAAAGATAGAGAGAGAAAATCATTAAGGCAATGCTTGAAGCAGGGGCCATAAGGGCTAGTGTTAGTCTATACTTCTCTCCAATCTTATTAGTAAGGAAGGAGGATGATTCTTGGCAGATATATGTAGATTATCAAGCATTCAATAATATTACAGTGAAAGACAAGCATCCTATTCTAGTGATGGATGAGTTACTTGATGAATTATGAGGTGTATAAGTTTTTACTAAACTAGATTTACAATCTAGCTATCACCAAATTTGTGTACACGAAGATGACATTCAGAAAACTACTTTTAGAACGCATGATGGTCACTATGAATTTTTGGTAATGCATCATCTTCTTTTTAAAGTTTAATGAATGATGTCTTTGGAGTTCATCTTCATAAGTTTGTTATGATTTTCTTTGATGATATTCTAATATATAGCACATCTTCAAAAAGTCATTTATTACATTTGCAGGTTGTCTTTACCCTTCTTCGTAAGCATTGTCCCTTTATCAAGAAATCAAAATGCAACTTTGCACAATTTGATGTAGAGTATCTTGACCATATTGTTTCTCGAGAGAGTACTGCGATTGATCCTTCCAAAATTCAAGCAATAAAAGATTGGTTAATTCCAAAATTAATTAAGGCTACAAGGGGATTCTTTAGACTCACTAGTTATTATCGAAAGTTTATGAAGAACTATGGCAAAATCAGTACTCCTTTGACATCACTTTTGAAGAAAGATGCATTTAAGTAGACAGAAGAAGCTACTCAAGATTTTATTTATTTTAAGTATGTAATGACCACTACACTAGTTTTCACTTTACCATATTTTAATAAGTTATTTATGATTGAATCTAATACTTCTAGAGCGGGTATTGGAGTTGTATTAATGCAAGAAAGTCATCCAATTGCTTATACTAGTAAGGCATTATCCCTATCTCATTTAAGTTTATCTGTTTATGACAAGGAGATGTTAGTCATTGTTTATATAGTTACTAAGTAGAGGCCTTACTTAATTGATCAATGGTTTCAAATATGAATCGATCACAAAGGACTGAAATATTTTCTTAAGTAAAATGTTTCTTCTTTAGAACAGCCAAAATAGGTCACTAACCTATTAGGATTTGACTACAAGATTATTTATAAGAAGGGGAGTGAGAATTTGGTTGTAGATGCACTTTCTCACCTTCTAGAATAGGTTGAACTAGTAGCTATTTCTATTTCTACTTACAAAATGCTAGAATTTATTAGGAGTGAATAGTTAGATGATTTTGAAGTTCGAGATATTATTAAAAAGCTAGACGAAGATCCCACTTCTATTCTTAATTACGGATGGGATCTCATAGATTAACGCTACGATAGTTGAATTATCTTAGCATAAGATTCTTCTTACCATAATATAATTTTAAAGGAGTTTCATTCATCATCAACTATAGAATATTCTAGATTTCTTTGTATATATAAACACATCTATTAATTTTTTTATTGGAAGGGTACGAAGAAAACCATCAAGAAGTTTGTATAGAATGTGATATTTACTAACACCACAAAGGTAAGACAATTGCTACCCCTAGATTGCTTTTAACCTCTTCCTATTCCTAATGATACTTGGATTGACATATCCATGGATTTTATTGATGGAATTTCACTATATCAAGGTAAAACCATCATCTTTATGGTTGTCGATCACCTTACAAAATATGCTCATTTTTGTGCTATACGACATCGTTATACTATTGTAAGTTTTACTTGCACTTTTATCGAGAATATAGTGAAATTGCATAGAATTTCATTTTTCATTATTAGTAATCGATATAAAATTTTTACTAGCACCTTCTAGAAGAAGCTCTTTTATTTGTAGTGTACCTAATTGAATATGAGTACTGCTTATTACCCACAAATAGATGGATACACTTAAGTAGTGAATAGATGTCTATAAAATTGTCTTAGATGCTTTATCAGTAATAAACCAAAGAATAGGGTAAAATGACTTCCTTAGATAGAATGGTGGTACAATACCACTTATCACTCTTCTACTAAAATACCTTTTAAAGTGATTTATAGTCAACCTCCTCCTATGATTATAAAATACATGTTTGGTTCTTCTAAGATTGATCAAGTAGACAAGGAATTGCTTGATAGGGATAGGATTATTCAACTTCTAAGAGATAATATCGTAGTCTCACAAGCTAAAATGAAGCAACAAGTTGATAAGCATAGAGTTTCCAATGGGTGATGAGGTTTTCCTTAGACTTCAACATTATAAACAAACTTCTATAAAGGTTCGGTCTTTTATGAAGCTATTTCCTCGATTCTTTGGATTTTATAAGATGTTAGAATGTATTAGCCTAGTTGTTTATTACTTAGATTTGCTAGCAAGCTTTAAGATATATTCAGTTTTTCATATTTCTTATATTTAGTTTTTTCTACCGGTGAGATTTAAATCTTACCTCAACCGATTGATGTATCATGATGTGTCATAGATATCCTATCACTGAGTTGCTTGTTTAATAGACCAACTTACTAATTGAATATGTCACTTGGGATTCTCACAAAGTATTAGAGGAGAAGTTTTTAGAATTTATTATTGCTAACCTTGAGGAGAAGGCTGTTTTGGAGAGATGAAAATATTATGATTTCTTAATTTTAGGGATTTGATATTAATCTTTATTTTTTATTTAGTTTTTCCTAGATAAGAGTTTTTAAGTTTTTCCTAATTATGACATGAGTCGTTTGATGTAGCAAATTAAGGATTGCTATTTTTATTTATTTTCTTTGTTAAAATTTCTAGTCCTAGTTGACTAACAATTAAATAATTATATATATATATATATATATATAATGATCTTGACAATTAAATACAAATCAAAGTTTTGGCCAATTTAGAGATTGATCTCCGATAAAAAAAAAAAAGGTTTGATCTTTCCGAAGTGATCAAATTCTTATCTCTTTTCTGAGATAAAGCTCTAGGGTTTTATCAATTTTATGTAAATAGATGCCAATAGATGATCAAGTTTATCAGATTCTGCCAAAAAAATAAATTATACATTGTTAGGTTGTTTACGATACAATGAATATGTAAATAGCAGATTGATATACGCGTCTTCCAGCTATAGTTATCAATCACTATTTCAGTGACTAGTCCAAGATAATCAAACCAGTGGAAACATCCATTTCTAGATGAACTATTTGTTGGAAAATTACCTGACAAATACGAAGTTTATATATAGTAAGTGTTTTCATGCATACCATGTAGATTCAAGATTATCTTTCAACAATCAAGCTAGGTCAAGGACAAGAAATACTCAACCACTTGTAAAGAATATATTTTGGTACCACAAGTTTGAGCTGCTTGTGAAGGAAACCAAGAGATCTTTATCACCAATCAACGTTAATTGTGACACAAGATTGTTTGATCTCTGAAATTTGATTGTTGAATCCATGATCTTTCAGGTCTTAGGTATTCGAACTTCTCTTGTATGCTATGAGCACTAAGGAAAAAAATAAAAAAAAGAAACAATGCCTCTTAAATCTGCATGATTCAATAGCGTTTAGAAGAAAAGAATAAGCTTGAGTTTAAACATGACCATGAGGAAATGGGAAAATTAAGATAATTAAGTTACATGCAAATCCCAGAACTTGGACAACTCATCCAAAATCAGAGCATCAATGTAATCGACTTCAAATCTTTTAGAAGCCATAATATGCAAGTTTTGTTTCACAAAAGGCTGAATGTTTGCCCTAACAAGTAGCATCTCCTATAATTTCTTCAGCACAATGACATGGTTTCACATGATGGACTTTGGTTATCGTTGATTCATCCCACGGGAGCCCTTTGTTAAAACTTTCGATTTCCTTCCTTTGTCCTTTGATGATTTGCCCTCGGATTCCTGACCTGAGCAGAAGATGAAAACTGTCAAAAGCGAACGAGTGCTCTTACTGTTCAAATAACGAGTTTCTAACTTAAAAGTGTGACCAAACCATTGTAATAACACAAATCTTCCATGATATGACTCCAACGTGGAATAAGGTTGAAGATATGGTGACAATTATGGAAGTCCACAGATTCACGTTAAATTCAGAATAGGTTTCAAAGAATTCCTGGTGTGTCATCGTGCCTTTTATGTCAAAAGGGAACAGGGTTCGGTGTTCATCAGTGACAAAGAATTTGAGAAATCCGTCCATGACAATACATATTAGCAGCATACCTTGCTTGTGGCCAAAGTTTTGATGGTTTTATCAGTTGGGTGCAGAATACGTTCTTTCTTGTCATCAGTCTTCCCTGCATTCATCAAGAATAATATATGATTTCAATTTCAAATTCCTCTTGATAAATTACACAGTTATCGATCATTTGGCAAATAATTCAGCAGGAAAAGTTCTTACAAGTCATAATTCTAGTCAATGCTGCTAGCTAGGCATCGATATGATCGTGAAGTGGCAAGCATTCATTGTGCAGTAAGTCGTTAAGACATGTTCAAAGCAAAAGAAAATCTAGAAAGTTAATACAACATCCTATCACTCATGTAATATGTGCATGACCAAAATGAATTCGTTCATCGAATTACCAACCCTACTGGATGCTGGTTATTTGATCAGCTACATAAATTAGACAAGAAATGCCCTCGATTATGATAGTTAGTTAACTATGATTCTCCCAATTCAGATATGGTTGTTCTAAAAATTGAAAAGCAGAAGGAGAATGACATTAGAATGGGGAAAAAACAAAAAAACTATGAAAAACATATGAACCAGTCCGTGATCCACCTCTGTAATTCTATTATTTTTTTTGCGAATAATCAGCCAAATTCTCCATGTTATTGAAATTCCCTACAGTTCTTCTTTCCACTATAAAAAAAATGATGATAATGGTTCAGATAGGCTGTCGAGAAAACAAAAACAAAAAACAAACACAAGATAAAAATCATGCAATTATGATTTAAGATTTATTATCCAGTTCATGGATCAGAAATCTTAAAAGAAAGCAATCTTGGGATAGCTGGCTAAAGACTTTAACCAAACAAAGCTGTAAAGGAGACGGAGAAGACAATACCATGGTCTTCTCCTGCATCTGCAACCTTGGCGGAGTCTTTGTCGATCCACGGCCCCTCGAAATAAAACCTAAAGCTGGGGGATCCGGGCCTCTCCTCCCCGTCATCGGCCTTCCTACCGGCTTTGACATCGTCTCCCGACCATGGCCCTAATCCCGCCTTCTTCCTACTCTCTTCCGCAACCCTATGGGGATCGAGATGGGATTGACTGCAGCCCATCGAGGGACGAATAGAGAGAGAGAAGAGAGGGATTGGACAATAGGGGGTTGTCAAGGTCGGGGAATTATAATCGAGGAGGGGGCGGAGGAGAGCGGATTGCGGAGAGGATACAGATGGGATTTTTGAGACGCGTCGGCAAGACAGCGGGAAAACGGCTTTAAAAAACTGTCAAACAGGTTGGCCTCTTGACTCTAATATTGCTTTCATATATTACTTACTTGAACATATATATATATATATACATATGTATATATATATATATATGTATATATATATATATATATATACATGAATATATATATACATATAATATGTA